TGTGTATTTTGTTGTACAGTTATTTTATTTTCAATTTAATTTATATATTTTATCTTATTCTTTCCCAGTGTGTTGTACAGTTATTTCATTTTTAACCTTAATTTATATTTTATTCCTTCCTAGTTAAATTTACCCTTTTTAATTTTTCATATTTATTTCCTATCTTATTCATAGCCTTTTCCTTTTTTGTTTTCTTTAGGTCACGAGCAGTTGTCCAAGCATTTCACTACATATCGTACTGTGTATGACTGTGTATGTGACAAATAAAATTTGAATTTGAATCAGTCTGTTGCCACAAGCCATCAGAAACTCCAGGTTGGAAAACAGTTAAGTTGTAAAATGTTTAAAATCCAAAACAGCAAAAATGTTCCAATAACTTTTTTAGAGCTAATCTTGTTTTCCTCTTTGAATCAGAGTTGAACCAGTAGTAACAGAAGTAAACTTTATACAAATGTCAAAAAAGTATGCCAAAAATCGAGTGTTCAAGAAACGATAACTGATTTGGTTCTTTTAGTTTACTTTATTGATTCATGTCTACCTACTCTCTGACTTAAATTGTTATGTAAAGCTTTGAAATGCCTAGATATCGAAAAGACTACTGACAAAAGCTGTGTCGCATTAGGTTTCGACTGCTAGCACGACCTACCTTACATCAATAGAAAGTTTATCTCCAAAGGCGTCCCTTATTTGTTCAGAGACAGTTTTCTGGTCCCAGGATTTTTGGAATTCAAATCCATTCAATATATGCCCTTGTTCATGTAAATGTTGTTTTGTGCGATGCAGAGTTGGATTGATGTCTTCTAGCAAGATTAAAATTCTACCCCAAAAAATAAATAAATAAATACAAAACTAAACAAAAACAACAAGAAAATTAACCCAACCTTTTATTTAGCAGGCTAATGTAGCTAACACCTCCCACATTAATAAAGAAAGTAAATCTTAAAGTAAGCATCAACTTACACTCGGGTCACAAGTAAAAACACCCACTAATATTGAAATAAATGCCACAGTCTTTAATGTTTTTAATGTGGATGCTGCTGAATAAATTAGCTAGGGCTAAAAATTTATAAGGGTAACAAAGTGCGTTGCTAAATCAGCAAAGCACATTTCGTATTTTGTATTTCGCAGTTGTATAGTTAAGTGGAAAACTGTTTCGTTCTTACCTTTTCCTTGATCTGCAGTTCCAGTTGCCAAAGTGTTTCTGGGTCTGATATCGCAAAGACTGCCCCACTCCAGTCGAACTCCGTGTAGCTACTTGACTCGTTGAAGCTACCCGGGTGTTATGGAGTTAAATCAGGGCCATAATGTTTGTGTAGTTAAAAGAAAAATTTGAAATCGAAAATATGTAAACTGAAAGCAAAAGTCACATTTTTAGAGTGAACTTTGAAAAAGAAAGAGTTGGATTTAAAATAAAATCAAACGTTTTGAATATTTGTATTATTTCTCTGAGTAAACTTTATTTAAAAATTTTCAGTAATCTTCTTTTCATTATTATTATTTTTAAAAAATCTATTCAGTCTCAGATTACATTTTTTCAGATTCAGATCTTTTAAATTAATGTACAAAAAAAATTCTTCAGGTTCGGATTTTTCTCTCAGCTTCAATTTTTTTTTTCACTTTCAGATCTCTATTTTTCAGTTACAGACTTTTGGCCCTGTTTTGGCCTGGTGGGCGTGGCTACACAGAGAGGGGCGGGGAATCATGAGTGACAGCAGACCGCTGCAGGCTCAAGATGGTCCATTTTTCATGTTGCCTTCAGGAAACCTGGGAATGAACATAATTTATCAAACACCTCCTGCACTGTATTATTTGATAATGTTTAGAAAACATGTCATGCATAACTGCTAAAACTCAGTTACTAAAGCTCTTTCAAGCAGTAATGTGTACAAATTACGCCGTAACTGATCAATTATGAGACGTTTTCCCAGCCACTACGTGAGAAGTGGTCATTTCCCATGCTCTCAAAGTAGCGCGCATTGTATCGGGTGGGGGCTGCTGTTAACTTGTCCCTCAGTGAACGATGGCGTCGATCTTCCAACAACACTGCTGGCGCGAACAATCAGGTGAGTGTTTAAGTTTGGAACAATTACACTGCAGTCTGTGAATACTACGAATTTAAGAAGTGGCTATTGTTACGGTTAATTTTTCGGCTATTCTTTTTTTTATTTTATAAAGCAACACATTAACAAGAGAATTCTGAGTAAAACCAAAGTTACTTTCCCTAGTAACTAGTTACTTTGAAAGTAAAGTAACTTGAAGTAACTGAGTTACTTTTGAGAGAAGTAACTAGTAATGTAACTAAGTTACTATTTTAAAGTAACTTACTCAACACTGAAAATAACATAATGTGATCTGCTACTTCACGCACACGTGAAGAGAAAAGAAGAAAAGAAAATAAGAACAGTGAACGAAGCAGAGAAAAAGGTGAACCTTCCACACTGTCCATTAGTTGATAGACTGTTTTATGTGCCAGTAACTGTATGTCCCGCTATTTTTGTTTCTGTAATGCTCACATCTCACTGGTTTCCTGCAGTTATTGTCACTATGTCTTTTTTCAGGTGTTCATATTTTCCAGAGTATGAATGGCTGTAACTGGGATGACGAGACTGGACAGATTAATGCGTTCAATCAGTACAGTTATAATGGAGAAGACTTTCTAACATTCGACCCACAGCGACTGACATGGATTGCTCTAAAACCACAGGCTGTCATCACCAAACTGAGATGGGATGGTGAAGAAGATCAATTAAAATGTAATAAGAACTTTTATGTCCACGAATGCCCTGCGTTTTTGAAGAAGTATGTTCAGTATGGGAAAAACGTTTTGCAGACAGCAGGTAGAATTAAAGAATCTGGTGTAGAAAAATAAAATAAATTATATGACAATTCAAAGATGTGTAAAACCTTCCTAGCTTTATCTTTTTTCAGTTCTTCCATCAGTGTCTCTCCTCCAGAAGTCTTTATCCTCGCCAGTCAGCTGCCACGCTACAGGTTTCTATCCTAACAGAGGTTTGATGTTCTGGAGGAAAGATGGAGAAGAGCTCCATGAAGGTGTGGATCCTGGAGAGATCCTTCCCAACAATGATGGGACCTTCCAGATGAGTATTGATCTGAATGTTTCATCAGTCACACCTGAAGACTGGGAGAGGTACGACTGTGTGTTTCAGCTCTTTGGTGTGAACGAGTACATCATCACCAAACTGGACAAAACACTGATCAGGACCAACTGGGGTAAGACTGGATCCTGGAATGGTTATGAATCGTTTTTACAGAGTAACCATTGATTTTAAATAGTGAATACTCTGTCACACCAACCCTTTGCATGTCCTCCTTCACTACATCAATTTTCCGTTTCCTTCTGGTGGCACCTCCATCTTCAACATCTGTTGTCTAATGTTCTCTGCTGGAGGTTTCTTCCTGTTAAAAGCTGTTTTTAACATATACGATCAATTGAGTGTTATCAAGTCTTGATAATGGTGTAAGGGTTTTACATTAAAATATTAAGTTTCTTGAGATGATGCTGGATAAGCTGACCTTTGTCACACTGGTGTTCACCAATCCAATCAAACAATTCTATTATCAATTCATAAAGAACAATTACTAACAAGTCAGTAAGATGCTTCACTTAAAATGGAACACAAATGGTAGATAACTGAAGTAAGCAAAAAGTAATGAAATACTATAAGTATGGTTTATCTTCAGCGTGCACAAGAAGATTAAGTACATTGGAGTATTAACTGAGTTTTAATGGTTTTCTGTTGCCTCCAGTTTTGTCAGATGCATCAACTGTGAGGTCCTTACTGAGTCATTCCTCACTTGTTCTTTATAACACAGAGCAAAAATGTGTGGGATTACTAAAGTGTTTCCACATTTTGTTCAATAGGGAAGCCCGCTCACATTATACCTACAGCGGTTGTTCTAGCTATCGTCCTCATTGCAGCTGTTGCAGCTGTGGCGGTTGTCGCATACAAAAGAAAGAAAGGTGAGTGATCTCAGTTGGAGAAACATTACATTTAGTTTTTGAATTTGTGTTTTAGTCCATACTGACACATTTAACATTAGTTCCAAACATGTACAGCCTGAAAGAGTAGCGTATACGTGTATATATATAAGAGTTTACGTTTCAGAGCCACAGAGAGATTAATATATGACACCTGACTGATAATGTGAGAAGCATCAGTGTAATAGATAAGAAAAGAGCTGATCTTCATTGCTGTGCAGAACACAAATTATTGAAATCTCTACCTGTGAACTACATTCGAGGAAAAGAGTTTGCTCATGTGGAACAGCGTAGAACATATTACTGCTGGCATTTAGAATGAAAAGCACACTTCAAAAAACAAGCTTCGTGTTCCTGTGATGCTTAATGCTTTTAAGGAGTAGTGATGAGATTTTGTGTCATGTGACCTTTAGTCATGTGTCTGCCAATCATTTCTCGGTGTGAGTTAAAAACAAAAACTGAAACAGCTCGTGATTGTTGCGGTAAAAAAAAATTTCTTGGTGGTACTTTCCCTCATGTTCCACCATGCTCAGCATGTGATATTTATGCTTCTTGATAATGTGACTTCCCTATTCATATTTCTGCTTGCCTGATTCTTTATTGCATGTTTAGCTAGAAAGCTAGTGTGTTTGCTAACAGAAATCATCAATCACTGTACATTATAGAAAATATCAGCTTTATCTTCTTGTTCTTACAGCTCCTGCCAATGCCTCCGAACAGTCTGAGACACTAAATCCACAAACATGACCATCCTTCACGCAGTTCTGCGCTCTGCATGACTTTGCTCTGGCTGTTTCAGTTCTTCCACAGTTTAAAGTTTTACATTTTATATACAGTACTTATCAAAATACCCAACAGGTAACATGATACATCATAAAAAGTTTTTTGTTGTTTATTTTAAAGGCCCACACTGCAATAAATGTATGTGCCTCAAATGAAGCTCAAATATTGATATAGTATCATTTCAAAAATATAATTTATCTTGGTTCATTTAACTTTAGGGGTGTTACCTCTTCTGGATGTTTATATGTTTACTTTTTGTGTAGTTAACAGTCAAATATTTGTCACCCTTTATTAAATCTAATGTATAATAATTCATGCATTACATGTATAATCGTTTCATGTAATGAATTTGACATTTACATTCAGTTAGAGAATTTATATGTTATGTCTGATCATTGGTCATATCACCTGCATGGGACAGATGGCTTATAAATCACTCTGGGTCTGCTTTGGCATAAAGCCCAGTTCACACTTACCGTAACTTTTTATAATTATTTGAACATTTAATGTCTTCTAAACAAGAAGACATTCTCTCCTTACTTTTTCATGTATTCAGAAATATTCTGTATTGATGTGCAAAACCTTTTATCTACAAAACATTCATATGTTTGAGCTACATGTTAATGTCATGGTCCTGAGTCTGTGACTCAGTGGTTTTGGTTTTGGTAATTATTATCTTGTTCTTAAGGTTAATTCTTGTTTTCATGTTCTTTGGGGTTGGGCTCTGGTTATATTTTGAGCAACTTCTGTTCTGTGTTTCTGCCCGCCCTGGTCCCATGTCTCTGTGTTTGTCTGTGTTCAGTCTGTGTGTTTCCTGTTTTACTTTGAAGGTCAGTGTCTCAGATTAATGCATTCTGTTTTGCTTCCCTCGGTTCTTGTCAGGTTGGATTGCTTCCAGCCGTGCTTCTCTTGTGTCTCTCCTTTCCTTGTTACTACCTTTGTATTTAAGCCTTGTGTTCTCTGTGCTTAGTTGTCAATGTCTCATCCCTGGAGCTGTGTGTGTGTGTGTTTCCCTGTGTTTCCTTGTGTCTCTGTTTAGCATTCCCAATCTAGTGTTGTATTCTGTATTGTTGTTAAGCCTGCAATAAAGCAGTGATCTTTGAGTTCAGTTCTTTTTCCGAGAGTTTTGCATTTGCAATGACCCAGTGTTTTGTTTGTTATTATTATTGTTGATTTATTTATTTATTATGTTTGGGTCCTTTTCCTGCAACACACAGCTGTTCCATGATACAACCAAATGATAAAACAATGATAAATAATTTCTTTTATTGTGGCACATGATTTTTTTCCATCTTAAAGAGTTGAAAGTGAATTGTTTAGTTATTTTTAAGAAAAAAAAAAGGTCAAACAGGCTCAAATGAGAAAATTGAAAAATACATCTTGGTAGATGACTTTCATTTCACAAATGGAAAGAAAAAGTTTATCTTTCATTTAATGGCTTACGTCTGTGAGTCCTCCAAGGACCTTAAGGTTTTCAGTTCAGTTGCATGAGCCTGGTATGCTTGCCCTGTGCTGCAGTATGGGCAGGTTTTTGCCACAGCATTAACATTTTTACATCTGTCGAAAATCACTACATCTGTAAAAATGTAAGACGACAGTATACTATAAACATGACACATACCATACTATAATCCTATGAGGACTAAAGCTTCACTAAAAACACATCACACTTATTGAAAGAGGAGGAAAGAATGGTCTCAGTGTGAGCTGGATAATAGAAGATTACAGAAAGACCTGTATAAGTGTATCAGTAAATTTATGCCATATGTACTTTGAATTCAGGTGATTGGACACAGGAATCATGTGTAATTTTCAATTATTCTGTTTTTTTTTTTAATTATTAATCCTGCCTGGACTCTCTTGTAGTGTTGCTAGTTACAGATTCTTTATATAACACCAGCAGCTAAACTCATGCAAACTCCATATCTTCTGTTACTTTCTGCATCTGCACGGCTGAGGGGAGCCGAGTATCCATCATTTGACTCCACTGCTGTTCAGAGCCTTTCAGTTCTTTTAGTCCCAACAAGCTTTCTGACATCTTTCTGTCACTTGCTCAGAGATTTGTCCTTACCCATGCCTGCTTGGGGCTTTTTATTTCAGCATAGAGCATTGATAAAAAGTTGGTTGCAAAATGACACACCATCTCTTAACAGTGAAAAGTCTGTGGGAACTAAAAACAAAGACAGCTTAAAGACGACATGATATAAGTGAAAATAATCTCCCTTTTGCGTTTCTTCTGCCAGCTGTAGGTGGGCTCATTTTGGAAACTGTGGGCCGTCTGAGAGTAAGAGCAAATATAATTGTTTAGTTTGGAGGACATATTTCATCAGAGAGTTGATCTGGTGGGTGACGGTTTGAATCTAGCACAGTTCCAAGTCAAGTCCATCATATTTTCAAGGTCTGAAAATCCTCAAGCTTTAACCATACAGAAAGGATGAAGTTATTTATGTTGCTTGTCTTCTGCCCTGCTGTATTTGCAGGTAAAAAAAACCATTTAATCAAATCTGTAAACAGCAGCATGTTTGTTTTGCTTTTGTAGGTAGTTCATAGACTCTGTATCAATGCTCATTTAATCATTTTATGAGAATATAAAACAGGATAAATATATATTTTAATCATGTGTATGAATTTTACTGGTGTCACAACTCTTTTTCATTACTATCATTAATGATACAGATGAAAGGGCTTGATGTAAAAAGTGTGAAAGAAGTCAGGTTTTCTTATATAAAAGGTTCAAATCAGATTTATCTCATTAAAGTAGTTTTTAAAGATTTAGGCTGATTATTATCAATATTTTTGTAGTTCAGAAAAGGGAAAACTTTTATTTTCTTTACTCACAGAGGTTTATTATTTACCTATCAGCTAGTCAGAGTCCAGTGGAACCAAATATGCCGTAGAGGTGGTTTCACTCAGCAGCCAATCACATTCACATGCCCTCTGATCCCAACAGTCTGTGATATTTGATTGTGAAATGTAAATAAATTGTTTGTATAGTTGCAATTATGTCTTATTCTGAATGAAGCCACTTTAATACTCCAGTTAACTAACAACTTCATCCACATCTTTGTCAAAATATAAATAACATTAAGATTTTCTTCTGTCACATTGTGTCCTTACATGCTCACACACACACACATATGCAGACACACACACACACACACACACACACACACACACACACACACACTCCTACTCACATCACTTTTACTGATTCTCATACGAGAATGTGTTCACCAAATCATACTGAATGCATCACATTTCACACTCTATTTGTATGTTTTATTGACTTATATACTAACAATATAAACATTGTTCGCCCCACAGAGAGACACTCACTGAAGTATTTCATCACGGCATCTTCTGGAAACCCAAACATCTCAGAGTTTATGGGTGTTGGGATGGTTGATGGCGTCGAGGCGGGTTACTGTGACCTCAGAAACAGGATATTGGAAATAAAACAGGACTGGGCGAAGAAAATAGTAGACAAAGACCCTCGGCAGTTACAGTATTACACTCATGTGTGCTTTGAGAATCTGCCACCCTTCTTCACAGATACAATGTCCACTGTGAAGCAGGATTTCAACCAAACTGGAGGTGTGATATTTTATGTTATTCCTTACACCAGTCAGTACAAATTATACAAATGCCTACACAAAAATGATTTAAGTAAATTAATTTAGTTTTTTTTTTATTTTTTTATTTTGTAATTAAAGATCTTAAGTCTTAAAAATTTACTTCTCCACTGAATCCAGGAATCATCAAACCTTGTAGATGTGAACATACTTAAAACTGTGATAAAACAATCAATTATAATCACTGTTGTTTGTCCTGCGCTTAACAATTGTATCTTCACAGTTCTGATTCTTATAATTTGTCATCTAGATGTCTACTCCTGGGTTAAATTAGTTTCTGTCTCTTGTCCTTCATCTTTTATTTTTGAGGTATCAAATCAAGTTAATTTGTACATGTTACAGCATTTCAGCTATCTTCCTTTAGTCATGCTAATAAAAAGTTGACAGATCAGCTCAGATCTGAGCATAGCTCAAACCTTGAAAAATAGCAGTGATTCACGAAATGAATAATATTAACAGGTTCATTTTAGTGTGTGTTTTGTTTCTCTTTCTTCAGGTGTCCACTTTTTACAGAGGATAGATGGCTGTGAATGGGATGAAACCACTGGCAAGGTGACCGGATTGACACGTTTTGGTTATGATGGAGAGGACTTTATTGAGCTTGATCTAAAGACACTGACATGGATCGCACTGAAACCAGAGGCTGTCAATACCAAAATAAGATGGGAGAGAGCTGATCTGAGAAACGCTCAATACTTTCTCAATGTGGTTTGTCCAACTTGGCTGAAGACAGTTTGGAACACTGCAAGAAGTTCCCTGCAGAGAAAAGGTCGAATTGCATGACCCAAAGCATTTTCATGGATGCATTATTTTTATATTATATGCAGTAGTTTATGTTGAAATATATTTATAAAAAAAAGTTATCTCTGAAAAAAATGTGTAGGTTGACTATTACATCCTCATCCTAGACTTAACAGGTTTGTAATTTTCCATTCTTTCAATCCCAAGATTCCTGAACAAAGTTTAAACAACAGTTCTCAAATCTATACTAACAACCAAAAAGCAGGAGAAAAAGGATTTCAACACAAAGAGCTTCTCATTCCCTTCAGTTTCTAGATTCTGATCATGCTGCCTACACAAACATTTAATTCAACATTTACAATATTTACTGGCTCACTTTGCCTCCCAAAGAGATATGGAGAGGTAAAGGGGGATGTCATACAGATGCTACAGACAGGTAAAAAATAAAAGTAGCAGCAACGAGTAAAGCACAAAGGACATGGAGAGCACCAGAAGGTCACATAGAAAGTAAAACAGTGTGACACCTGTGAGGCTCAGAGAGAAGACTATATCCACACAGTGTGGAGTGAACGCAGGTGAAACCAGTGAGGGTGTGGCAGACAATCACTCAGGAGGGAAACTAGACACAGGTGCAGACAATCAGCAAATCAGAGGTGGGAAGTAAAGCCACAGGAGACTGCCTGTCTCCTGTGGCTTTACTTCCCACCTTCCCAGTTGCAGTCTGGAAACTTTTCACGTTTCCAGACTGCAACTGATTGACTCGACCGACTCTTCCCGTTGTGTCTTACTCCCAATAAAGATCTCAGGGGAGCAGAAGCAGCAGGCATTTATTAATATAAAAAATCCTTCACTCAAAGCCTCATTTTAATTTGATAACAGCTGAATGTAACATGTGGAACAACTGCATCATAAACAGTTTTATTATAGCACAAACTCAGCTCTATTTCATCATCTCATGTGTAACAGAGCTCAGGCCATTTTCACAACTTGACAGTGTGAAAAATGATCATACTGGAGAGGAGAGATGCACAGGTGGGGGCGACATCCAGACTGAGAGAAATTTGCCCGAGTGTTTGGAATTTTTTGCTGAGGACTGTTACGCTGGTTTATATCAATCTGAACAGATTAATTGATGCTTATTTTGGATTGCAGACTTTGGACTTGGAAGCTGGAAAGTGGAGTCAGTGTGGGAGGGTTGGGCAGACTAACATGATAGGGAAGGAGGTGGAGAGCTATAACAGCAGTTATGGAGATGAGCGATGAGGAGGTATATGGGAGTAATACAGAGGTAAATGAGCAGCAGGAGGTGGTGAGAGGAGGTGGATACTGGATGGCCAATGACAGAAAGAGAAACAAGGAGCAGGAGGCTAGGCTGGAAGGTAGAGACAGTAAGAGTTGGGAGGATGTGGTGAAGAAGCCACAGCTGGAATCCCTTCTTGTGTTGAGCTTCTAGGGTAATGGAGAAAAACAGGTGGAAAAGGCGACAAAGCTTGCGAGTGTAGGAAAAGTCAAAGTATAAAGAAGTGTGAAAGTTGGAGTGCAGAGAGTAAGTGGGAGTAAGGAGACGGTAACAGGAGTCCCCTTTAGTGTTAACACAGCAGAAATAGTCTAAGCTTGCGTAACTGTGGGGTACAAAAAGAATGATAAGAGGGTCAGAGAAACGTGTAGGTGGAACATAAAAACTGTATTTAGTGTTTATAAAGTATAAA